TTTGGGATGGAGCTGCAGGAGTGTGTGGAGAAGCCAGGGATGGAGCAGGCTGGGCTGGCGAGACCTTTAATTCCACTGCTATTCATAACCTTACTTGTGAAACTCACTATAAGACTAATATTCCAGGCTAGCAATGGGGAATGAGACAGGAACTTCCATTGACTCCTGGCAACCTTGACAACAAGTCCTCAGGTTGCAGATGCTTTCTGTGTCTGGCTTCTAGAACTGCAATAGAATTCTTAGTATGTGTGTCCCCATTACTACCACTATTACGTTGCTAGAACCTTCACTTCGACCCTTGCCATGACTCAACCATCATCATGATCACTGAAACTGCTTCTCTTACCAGTGCCACCCTCCCCACCACCACCATTGTGCTACTGGACACTGGCAGAGTGGGACACACAGCCAGGTCTGGTTGGCTCCAGCAAACATAAAGAGCTGGTGTATCTTCTAAAATCACTGGAATAGAGTGTGTCCCTGGAATATACTTTGCTATATTCATTATGGCCATTTTCATTAAATATAGGCACTCTGATGCCTTTTATTTATTTATTTAAATTATTTTATTTTAAAGAGGATAAAATAGAATAAAATCATTCAAAACAAACCAGAGTAAGAGATACAGGACCTCAAAACATTACAAAATCAGTAATAGTTACCCTAATGCCTTTTGATGTTTTCAAAATAGCTGCAGATAACTTCAGACATAGCAAAAATCAGAATAGAATAGAATAGAAACAACAAAACAACAAATGTAATAAAGGACTTCAAAACAAGCCAATAGTAAATCCAGAATTGCTATAATAATATATCTTGCTATCCTTGAAATAGCTTCTCCTGCCATGGGATTTAACATGATTAAATAAAACAAAAGAAAATAAAACCAAACCCAACAAAACAATGGAAGCTATACAGGACCTTAAATCAAGATCACAGGGAATCAGCAATGGCTGCAACCCTCAGAAGGAGATCCCCCCTAGATGCCACACTGTATACCCCTGTCTTCCAAGCCTATGATCAGACCACTGGCCCTAGACCTGAAATGTTAGTGAAACATAAAAGCACTACAACATCCAATTGCATTTCACCTCATCACTGCCTGTGCCTCTCTGGATAAGCTAGTCCCTTATGGGAGGGAGGTACTTCTTGTTGGCCAGTATGTGTACCCAAAGGGGCTGGGGTCTGGCCATTCCCAGTCCAGTGGCGGCCCACACATGGCGCTGGTTCCCAGACTGGGCTTGTGTGCTGGTGCAGCCATTGTTCTTTCTTGCCCCAGTCACAAATGGCCACTCTGATGCCTTTTAAAATACAAATGCAGGAGGCTGTACTTCCCTCTCAACTAGCTCCCAGAGGAGTGTGTCACTGCTGTAAAAGGCCCAGTCATTTCTCTCTGAAGTTGTCCATTTCATCCTATTGCCAGAGTGCCAAGAAGGAAATGCTCATGATAGAAACGGAATTTTAGATTTTTTCCAGGGACAAGTCACTTGATTCCTGAGGGGCTATTTTAACCTTTTTGGCTGATGCCTGCTCTGGATCCATGAAGTGTGTAAATAAGTGACATCCTGAAAGGAAGTAAACATGACCACATCTGAGGGTTGGCAATTTAAGACTGGTAGTGCTTTCGTAACATGACAATTCTATTTAGTTTTTAAAACTGCTTTCAACTCTTAGTCTACATTACTTTCTCAAAGAAGAGACAAGGCTTTTAAGATCTGGCAAGTAACATTCCATTCCTATCCCCATAACTTGATAATTTCTACCATGTGAAAGACATTCCCAGATGATGTGGAATCAGTGTAAATTTAATACGTCGATGATGGTTCATGTAAAATATGCATGCTTAGTAATGCTGTAGTGAATTCGTAAGTGTTTGCTGCTTGAAAACACAAGATCAGAAATTGCTTCTTTTATTGGAAACCACTTAGACGACAGAGTCTCTGCTTTAAATTTGAGATGTTACAATGATTAGATTTAAAAACTGTTTGTAATATTAAATTTCAAGGATAAATTTTCCATAGTTAAAATGCTACAAAAATGCTAATTTTATAATAGATGCTAAATATTATTATGAGATTAAAATGAGTGTATATATTAATTCAGGTAGAATCAACATAATCATATCAAGCCAGGGCAAAAAAGCAATAGCTTTGTCACACAAAGTATTACCACAAAATAGTCACAACAGGCACTAAGATGTTTTTTCAAGTTGTAGGAGGTATGGACTCAATTTACTTTTATAGTAAAATCCTTTCATAAAAACTATCATGTATTTCTTAGAGAAGCATTTATTAGAAGTAAAATTTTGAACTTCCAGTGGCATGAGTGATATCCATGTAATACTGAAGCAAGAGTCTTCCTCTAGACAGGACGCACCAAGTGTTTAACGCATTAATTATCATCCTCCATCAAGCATAAAACTAACAGTCAGGAAATACAGCTGCAATGGCACAATTACCAACACACTCAGAATATACCCTGAAGCAAAGAAAACAAATGGCTTGCTTTTCATTAACAGAGCTTGGCAACCCTCTCCACAGACAATGTTTTCTTTCTAGCCCAGTCCCAAAAGGCATTTAAGGGGCTATTTGCTTAGGTAAACCCAGAGAACAAATTAATTATAAAAACATCTATTTAAATCTCAAAACACACATGGTCAATAACCAGCATCATTCAAAAATTACATATATATATTTGTGTATGTGTGTACTCACATATATACATACATATATATGTGATTTGATTTTATAAACATAGAACATATGCTTTTAAAAATATTGGGAGAAGAAGATTGGGCAGTCAAACAATATCCTCATACTTGTCCGTGACACATAGGCCATTAATGGTTTTCATTTTCATGTTTTGTGACATATAATTTGATAGGCAAGTGCTTCTATCTATAAAATAATAATGAACTGCATATAATAGGATTCTATTACATAAAATCTGAGCCCACATAAAATAATTAGCTATCAGCTTGAGATTCTAATATGTCATTATTGAAGGCCTAGATGAATAGTATTCTGGAGAGATAATAAAAAGACTGGTTTGTTGGGTTGGTTTCTGGTTATTTTTAACATTACTGTAACAGCATCATACTTTACTAGATGCATTATGTCTACCAAGGTTATACTACAATTAAACAATGAATTATTACTTAAATCCTAATTTAGGGAAGGCTCTGGGGACATAAAGGTAATGGAGAGTCATCTGCTCAAAGTATTTGTAATTATGTCCTGAACATGTGTGGCTGTCAAACTTTCTCTAATTTCTCTGCCCAGAAATCCTCTAAAATAATCAGCTTGATTCTCTCTGCAGGGCAAATAGTACAGCAAAAACTAAGGAGCCATATTTTCCTCAGCACAGGAGGCCAGGAGTACACATATGGGTTCTTCCACACTCATGGCACAACTTCAATGTTGCGCATTAATGTTGTACTTCATAAGCAATTAACTCAAACACAATTCTTTTGAATTGCATTTGGGAAAGGCACCATTTCTTTTTTCAGCTGGCCAATTTATGCTATGGGCAGTTAGTTGTCTTCTAAAGACAGATAAGCTTTGGTGCTGTGTATGAAATAAAATTCAATGCCCTGAATGTACTTCATGGAAAGGTCATCCTTTGGCTTGGGGTGAGGCCTGGTTAAGTAATGTGAATAGCATGAATTTTAATTTTAACCAATCCACCCTTTCAGGACAGCAACCTACCAAGGTGCTGAAAGCAGCAGTAAATCAAAGGGATGAAATGAAGCCTCTCCCAACGGCACTAACAGTGCCAGTGTGCCAGGGAAGGCTGCCGGCTGGCTCTGCACAGACCATTAGGCTGGACTAAGGAGGATACACAGGAACTAAATGGTCCCTCCCATCACAGGCTTACAGTTGACAGAAAAAACCAGTTCATGTCCTGAGCGCATTTCCCAGGGGTGTATCAGTGAGCACCAGGAGCGGGCGTGTCAGTGAGCACCAGGAGCGGGCCGTGGGGTTGAGGAAGAGCTTCATGGTGGGCCAGTGCATCAAGGGGAGTGGATTCCCGTGCGTCACTCTGGGACCTTCATTTTAAGGCCACAACTACAGAAGTTCTGTCTTGGTACTTTTATAGATGCAGTGTCATGATACATATTTGAAAATGCAAGACATATCTTAAGGGAAAAAAGTATTTTGATGTTTTGTCAAGAAAGGTAATACCACACAAATTGCCTCAAAAAATTAGAAAATTTCAAGATGAACTTGAGCTAAGTCTTGACCGATCTATCGCTTTCAAACATGGGACAGGACAGCAAGTGCCTGCTAGTCTCTCTCCATTCTTAAAATCCTTTTGAACTGGAATCACTTCCTTACCTTGATGTGAATGCATCTCCAGTAAACATTAGAGAGAAAAACCATCCCAATTCAATTGCAATACCAAGCAAGTAGACACTGTGCATGTATTCCTCCTTCCCTTCTTGGATGGGAGGTCCTTGAGCTTAATGTTGCTTTTTCAATTAGAAAATATTATTATAGCCTGACGGGAAAAGCCAATTTCATTTGGAATGTTTTTCAGAAGGAGGAAAGAAATAAATCTCTAGGGAGCATATTCAAATGTAATACGGGGTGGGGGGCAGGGCTAAGTGGTAGAGTGCCCACTAGTGTGAGCAAGGGCCTGGGTTTGATCCCTAGCAATGTAAAAACAAGAAATAAATATGAAATAACTTCAATGTGTGATATTTGGGCAATATTCTCTTCAGCAATACTGAAAACACAGTTTAAAGGACAGGACCGATCCTGAGACTTAAGTTCATCACATTTATCTCCCAGTTAGCACCCTGAGGCTCAGCCTGTGTTTTGGAGCTCAGGGAGTGCTCAGTCCTGGCAAAGCGTCAAGGACTCTTCCAGGAAGCACTGTCCTCGCTTTAACAGTTGGATTCCCCGAATGAGAGTGCGCACTTTGATGGAAACTGTTTGTAATGTAAACACAACTTGATGTTTTGTAAGATTCTCTTGTGGCTTCTCTAGCTTTCATACCTTTAGTGTGGTGAACTTATATGGCTGATAGCCCTTGAAGCTCTCATGGATGGCTGCCATAGTGTGAGAAGTTTTCTCCCAAAAATGGAGCAGAGTGGTCTGTAAAGAGAGAGGGAAAAATTATTACTGTTGAGAACATTCAGTGCTAGTGCTGGGTCCTAGAGAAGTATGCCTATCTGTAGACTTCAAGGTCCTCTAACTACAATTTGGAATTACTTCTGTACCCACAGTGCCCTCTACATACACCCTGTTTTTCAGCCAAACTAGGTGCTTGCTGTGGATTGTGTTGTTCCCACCCCTAGGACCTGCTCTTCCCCATCCTGCCAAACTCAGGGCTAATCACAAATTTAGTTTGTTTTGCTTTGGTTTCAGAACAGGAGAGAAACCAGGGCCTTTGCATATCCCTGGTTTTTTATTTTTAGTTTGTTAATTTTGAGACAAGGTCTTGCTAGATTGTTAATTTGTCCATGCTGGATTAAAACTTGTGACTTTCTTGCCTCAATCTCCCAGGACATTGAGATTTCTGGCATGTCTTACCCTGCCTGTCTGGAAGTTTGTGATCCCTCAACTAATTTGAGTTTTCCCTCTTTTAATTCACTGGCTCATTTAGACACCCCCCCCCCCGCGCTTCATGTAGCACACCCTGATTTGTCCTAGAGACTTAGGAATTAAAGTCAGGTATTCCTGGCTCTTATTTCCTTCCTAAGTTTGAGTTCCCTGAGAACAAGATGATCTTGCTATTTTTTTTTAAATTTAGAGAAAGAAACAACAACAACAAAAAAATACATGGAGATAAAAAAGGGTAGAAATAATACAGAATTACAGAAAAATAAATGGTAAGATATCGCCAGTTGATAAGTTACATATTGTCATCTTAGAAATAGCTATTCAGGTTACAATATTAAAGTATGTAAAATGACATTTAAATAGTGACACTGCCAACAGTTCTGCTCAATGATTTAACAAAAACTTAGTAATATGGTTATCAGTCCTACACACTTGTTTTATATCTTAAAGAGGGTAAGATTAAACATATCAAAACAGAACAAAACAGTTTAAAAAAAAACACTTTAAAGAAATACAGATTTCAAAGCAAGTCCACTGGAGATCTTCACTGTCTATCTAATTGCCTCTAGTTTCTTCCAATAGTTGTCCCCATCTTCACACACATTAAATACATACTGCATATTATAGAACTAATCAAATCATTACAGGATGATGAAGGCTTTTTAGGTCTTCAAGATCTGACACTGGGAAAGACAATAATAACTACCATCACATTTTTCATTCTCTTCGTAGTAGCTGTCCTTATCTTTACATATGCTGATATTGAACTTATGAGACTAGACTAATATCACTCTGATCAGTGAATAATAGAATTGCTAAATTTTATATCATAATGCTACAAAATTAGCATTGGGTTTCTTAGTGTCTCTTCTTCTTCAGAGTATCTGTTCATTACATATTGCATTATATAATCTGTTCCCGTAAATAGTTTTTTAAAAGAATCTTCTCATGCGAGAATTTCTACATGTATATCTATCCTCTCTGTATTATAGGGGAAAACAAATCATAACTAGACAGCAAAACAAATTCCTACAAAAACATGCAGTGAAAAAGACACATAAGACCACAAATATTAGGTGATCTACTGTAGTTACTATGCTTTCTCTTGTTATTTTCCATTGTCTTGTCCACATCATTGGGCTTAATATAGTTGAAAATAGTATTACCTAGCTATTTTTATAATAACACAACTTTGAAAACATTGTAGGACATGAGAGCTGTTAATAATTAATACTGGTATGGATATCTTTTACATCATGTCATCTTCAGAGTAGTTGCCTCTACTTTTAGGGTTGATACTATCAAGTATATCAAATTCAAATAAAATCAGCCAAGGCAAAACCGCGGTCTTATGAATCGGATTCAAATAAGATCAGTCATAGTAAGACAATATAAGTAGTACAGGATTTCAGCCCAAGTTAATAGGAAATTAAGGAAAGTTACCATGGTATAACCTGGTATGTTTGGGTCAGATGTCCGTGACCTCAAATCCAATGAGTGGACAGACCAGAACAAATTAAATTCAAACTAAACAGGGCGATAAGACTACTGTGACTTTTAAATCCTGATACACTATTAACAATGACCTCTGCCTTTTTTTGTAGTGTATCAGAGCTATCTATACTAAAGCCTATAGCTTACCGTCTCTGCCTCATGTCTGCTACTCCACTTTACCGCTATAATTTGTCCACCTTACTCCCTCTTTCCACTGTCTGCCCCATTCATTGAGACCTCTCTGCCACTGTTGCTGGAATGCTGGTATCCCTTCTTCTCTTTCTCTGGAATGTCCTTCAGCACTCTCTGTAGGGTTGGGTTGGTGGCCACAAACTCCCACAGTTCCTCCTTGTCTTGGAAGCATCTTATTTCTCCATTAATTTTGAGAGAGAGTTTTTATGGGTATATGAGTCTTGGTTGCATATTATTTTCTTTCAGGACTTGGAATATTTCTTCCCATTCCCTTCTTGATTTAAGAGTTTGTATTGATAAGTCTGTTGTTATTTTGATAATTTTCCCATTGTAGGTAATCTGCTTTTTTTCTCTGGCTGCTTTTAATATTCTGTTCTTTTGGTGGATTTCTGGAATCTTGATTATTATATGTCTGGGTGTAGATCTGTTTTGGTTGTGGGTAGCTGGTGTTCTGTACGTCTCTTTTATCTGGATATCATTTCTTTTTGCTATACATGGGAAATTTTGCTTTAATATATCTGTGAATATTCTTTGTATTTCATTTTTGGTTGCTCCTGCTTCCTCACTCACATTCTTTATTTTTAAGTTATGTATCCTTTTGTCATCTTCTAGCCTTTGAATTGTTTCTTTCTGGTTCCTTGTTATTTTTAAGAGGTCTTTTCTTTCACGATCATGTATGTTAAATCTCTTCAAGTTTCAAAAGGCTGACTTTAGTTTCTGTCAAGGCATTTTGCCAGTGTTCAATGGAGTTTTTAGTTTCCTGCTAATCTCTTTGGATCTGTTTCATGTATTCTAAGTTACGTTTAAACTCTTCTTCAGAAGTATCTCTTTCTTTTCTGATTTCCTCAGTTCTTCCATCTGTGTTCTCTTGGGCGGGGCTTGTCATTTCTTTAATTAATCTCTTTATATCTTGCCTCACTTGAATCAGGAGTACTGCTTTAAATTCATATATGAGGTTATGGAGGTATTTTTTTTATTTTGGTGGATGCTGTGTCCAGTATTGGATGGTTACTGTGCTTGTTCTCTTCAGTGTTTACTTTTCCTGGACTTATTTTCTCATGTTGGGCAGCTGGAGATTTTTTTTTTTGTATTTCTATCTCTTGTCATGTTTCTGGTTTCTTTCAGACTGGAGTGCTTTGGGGGTCTGTGGCCCTCTCTGTATTGCTTAGGGCCTTTCAGAAGTGTGTTGACTTGAGTTTTTGCTGTCCTCCCCAATTTGCTGTTATCTGGGGTAGGCAGGGATACAGGGATGGTGCAGGCTAGCCTCTAGCCTCTGTGCCAGTCAATCTGCAAATTAGGCTGTACTTTGTGGGTGTCACAGAATCGTGACTATTTTGTATCTGCTTATTGGGTCCCAACCAGAGGCTTGGTTCAGCCCCAGCAGGTCCTACCAGTTCTCTCTGTGCCAGAAGCAGCTGGCTAATGTCACCGTGGCACAGGGCTCTGCCCAAATCCCAGCTGTCCTCTTCCAGACCTCTCTGTGCCAGGAGAGACTATGTAATGTCCCCACGGCTGCAGGTCTGCCCAAGATGTCTTCCACTAGTTCTCTCTATGTCGCTGACGCCAATATGGCGCCAGGCTCTGCCCACTTTCAAGATGTCCTCCACCAGACCTCTCTATGCCAGGGGCGACTGTCTGATGTCACTGAGCCGCGCGCTCTTCCCAACTCCAAGATATCTTCCACCAGACTCTCCGTGTTATTGATGTTGCTGTGGTGGTGGGGTCTGCCCAATTTCAAGATGTCTTCCAGCCAGCCACAGCAGCCAGGGGACCCAGTCCCCAGTACTCACCAGGACTCAGTGCAGGTCTTCCTCTTGAGTCTACTGCACACTACGCTACTTGCCTTCACTGCGTTCCTGACACTGCATGGATCGGTCAGAAAACTGCACAGTGCCCGACTTTGGAACTCTGGAGCTACTCACAATCTCCTCCAGTGCAGCCGGGCAGCCCTGGCTGCTTCGTGGGGTCCCAGGTCTCAATTTCCAGCAGTCACCAAAAGCCAATACAGCTTTTCCTCTTTGGTCCACTGGTCAGTTTGCCACATTAAAGGCGCGGGATTTGCAGACTCCCGTTATCAGCCATCACAGTCTCAGCACGACCTTAAATCCTCCAGCCGTGCTGTCTTGGTTAAAAAGAATCGTTATCCATTTGTCTGGTCCTCTCCATGTAGTCATATTCTAGCATCTAACATGATTTCTCCAGAGAGACTCTCCGCCCAATCCCCTAGCAAGCCACCATTTTTGAAACTCTCTGGTCTTGCTAATTTTTATGTTCCTTACAACATCCCCCATGAAACACCCCATACTCAGTTGATGTCAGTAGCAATCAATACTGAAGTATTGTCAATAGCAATCAATACTGAAGGACACTAGTGCTATTGAAGGAACACAGAGGCTACAAAACCCAAGCACTGAATAATGACAGCCTGAGAAACAAAGTATAATATGAAACAAGTATAACACTAAATGAGCTCAGACTAGGCTTACTGGAGAGTGGGACTTTTCATTTGGTGTATCAAAGAGAGTGGAATTTGGGAAAGCATAGTTATTTTTGGAGGGGAGGCTTTCCACTAAGAAAGGACCAGAAAAATGAAAAATCCAAATGTGTGTGTAAGGGGATGGTGGCTACTAAACTCAGTCTGACTAAACTGTAGGACTTGATGGTGGAGATGTGGGGAGTAAATTATGAGAAAGGTCTTTAGAGCTTTGCAATGCCTGAGTATACTTTGAGTCATACACTAGGACAGCTAAGCCTATATAACCATTTCTTGTTCCTAGTGACAATCACCACTGTTACCTGGTATGTGGCTAGCATGTGAGACAACAGGTTGCATCTGCTTGCTCCAAGAAGATCTACTTTTTGACACACATCCATCTTCAATTTGTCAAAATTTTTTTTTGCAAGGCGTACTTGTGTCTGTACCTATGAAAGAGAAAGAAAGGGAGGGGATTTAGCTCAGTGCCATAAGAGCCTACCTGGCAAGCCTGAGGTCATGAGTTTGATCCTTGGTACAAAAAAAAAAAAAAAAAAAAAAAAAGGAATTTCTGAACTCAAACCAATAATTAAAATTTTCAGGTGAAGAAAGACTAATAGCAAGGCTTCTCTGTTTTATATTTAAAAAAAAAACCTTTGAAAATTCTAGGCAAATGAGAAGATCTCACTGTATCCATTCTTTTATTTAAAGAAAGATAAAACAAAATAGAAAATGGGCAGAAATAGTACATACTTTCAAAGAAAAGAAATAAACAGTAATAAATCACTAGTTGATGTATACATATTGTCCCCCCACAAATAGTTGTTCAAGATACACAAGTGTAACATATAAATGGGAATTCAACCAGGGAGACTGCAAACAGTTCTGTTTAACTATCCAACAAAAACTAAGTACTATGGCTGTCATTCCTATACACTTAAGACATGTATGCATTTATCCATATCTTCATTGATGTTGAGACCTAACAAAATTTATTAGATTAAAATCCTTCTGAACAAAGATTAATAATATTGCTGGATTTCACATCATAACACTCCACAATCAGCACTGGGTACTGCAAGGCCCTTTCTTTCCTTCAAAGTATTTGTTCATTTCATCATGTGTCGTAAGATCAGTTCTCATAAACTGTTTATAGGTTTTATGCAAGCATGAGTCTTAACATGTATTTCTATCCTTTCTATATTAGAGGAAGTAACAGAACAAAGCAGGACAGAACAAAACTTTTTCCTATAGACACATAAAACTAAAAAGACATATAAATCTGCTGTATAAGGAGTTCTACCATGGTCACTGTGCTGTTTCTTGTTATCATCAACAGAATTGGCTATATCATCAGATAAAGTGTAATTGAACACATTAGTACATAACAAGATTAACAGAAATACAACTTTGTAGATAGTGTAGAGCTACAAAAAAAAGGTAGTAATCAAATCAGAATGGATATCGTGGTAAATCATTGTCGTTTTCAGTATAGTTGTCTATACTCCTTAACTTGATACCAGCAACTTAACAGTTTTGAATAAAATCAATAATAGGCAGCAATCAAACAAGTCAGATTTAACTAAGATCAGTCATGATACAACAATATATGTCATACAGGGATCTTGATTGAGCTAATAGGAAATTAAAGATGACCACTGTGCTATGTCTGTGCCCTCAGATCCAGTGCTTGTATACAAACTAGGACGGAACAAGTTCCAACCAAGCAGAATGGTGTGAGTAATAGGGGTTTTAATTCCTGATACATTGGCTATATCTTCTGCTGGTGTTTTTTTTTTTTGAAAACTATTCCTCTCCCTCAGAATGAACTGTGTATTTTTGGGTCTCCCCAACACTCATGGTTTTGTATTGGGGGCGCAACCTGCTATTTACCTAAGTGTTTCCAAACTTTCTCACTCCAGGACTGGATTTCTATTTATATTTCTTCATTTATTAAAGCTTGTCTGTTCAACCTATCCATAAATACTGGTCTAGTTACCCCTATTACTCTCTGGTTCCCTATCACATCAAGTTCCATTTTCTCATGTTTGATTTTGGTCCATAAAACTTTCTTCAGGCTAATTATATTTCCTATAAGAAGAGCTTCTCGGAGGACCCTACCTCTTGATCCACTCTGCCTGCGATTCTCTCTTTTTTCCCTTAAGTTAGTGTATCTAGGCCATCTATATTAGAAATTATATCCAACCTTCTTTGCCTCATTTCTGTTGAGCTCTTTTTCTGTCATTTGTTGTCTGTTTATCTTCTTTATTTTTCTGTAATCTCTCTCTTTAGAATGTCCTGCAGTATTCTCTGTAGAGTTGGATTGGTGGTTGCAAATTTCCCCAGTTCCTCTTTATCTTGGAAGCACCTTGTTTCTCCATTAATTTCTAGGGACAGTTGTGCAGGATATATCAATCCTGGTTGGAGGTTATTGTCTTTTAAAGCTTGGATTATTTCACCCCACACTCTTCAAAATTTGATGGTTTGTGCTGAGAAGGCTCCTGTAATTCTGATGGGTGTTCCTTTGTAAGTGATCTGTTTCTTGTCTCTGACAGCTTTTAATATCCTGTTCTTATACTGGATTTCTGGAATCTTATTACATGCCTGGGTGTAGTTCTATTTTGATTGTAGGTGGCTGGAGTTCTGTATGCCTTATACATCTGAGCATCCTTACTTTTTCCTATGTTTGGTAAGTTTTCCTTGATTATTTCTGTGAATAGTCTTTGCAGTTCCTTTGTATCTCTGCTTCTTCATTTACATTCTTTATTCTTAAGTTATAGATTCTCTTGTTATCTTCTAGCCTCTGCATTGTTACTGCTTGTTTCCTTGTTATTTTTAAGAAGTTTTCCTCTCATGTTCCCACATTACAAATCTGTCCTCCAGTTCTGATAATCTATCCTTAAAGTTTTTTGTGTGTCTTTTTTCATCTTTATCGGTACCAGGGATCAAACTCACGACTGTCTGCTTGCAAAGCAGGCGCTTATGCCACTGAGCTAAATCCCCAGCCCCTATCCTTAGTTTCTTTCAAGCTGTCATGCCAGCTTTCAATAGAGTTTTTAATTTCCTGGTCATCTCTTTGAACCTGCTTTATGTATTCTATGTTTTCTCTATTTTCTCCATCAAACAATTCTCCCCTTCTTTTTGTTCTTCCACTCTACCATGTTTTTTCTTGGGAGGTGCTTAGCATTTCTTTAACTATTTTACTTATATCTTGCTTTACTTGGTTAAATACTTCACTTTTGAACTTGCCCATGAAGTCCTGAAGATATTGCTTTATGTCTATTGGTGCCATGCCTGATACTGCATGTTTTCTGTCCTCATTCTCCTTTGCATTTACCTTTCCTGGATCAGTGTTCTCAGGATTGGGGACTGAGGACCCTTTCTTGTTGCCTCCTCTTCTCATATTTTTTGTTCCTTCCATACAGGCATATATAGGAGGCCCAGTTTCTTTGTCAGTTTCAGTTTGTCTGAAGCCTGCTGAGTGGGTGGTCCAGCCCACTGCAGTGTACTAGGAGGTACAGACCTGGGCAGCCTATGATGGGCCTGCCCCTCCAGGTCAGCCTACTGAAGTCTTCACTGCCTTAGGGTGCACTGCCAGGCTCAGGGACCTGGTTTGGGCTAGCCTATTGGGCCTTAGTCCATCGCGTCACCCAGGTCAAGCACTCCCCACCAATCCCGCTTGAGAAGGGAATATGTGACTGACGTCATTGCAGTGCCCTGTTCTGGCCAGTCTGCCCGGTCCCAGAATATCCTCTGTTGGAGCCTCTTTGTCTATGGAAAAGTCCCTATTCCTCTCACTCACTGTAGGCTGATGCAGGATTCCCCACCAGCTCTGCTCTCAATTTGGTTCACTGATTCTTTCTCTCAGAGCGTTCAGGTCTGCAGTGAGTTGAAACCAATTCAGGCACAGCAGCAGCATTGAGTTTAATCCACGAGTTCTGGCAGTGGCACCAAGACTTTAGCTGTTCTAATCAAAGCACCTGAAGTGCACTTCCAATTGGTTTCTCTCAGCTTAGTTTGTTCCTAGGTCGGCAGGGTATATCTCCCTCTGCTTAGGACTCCTCATACCGCACCATTCCTGAAATCTAAGCTGGCTATCTCAGAGAGCCTCTGTAGCTGCTGTTATCTATCTGCCATCTTTTCTTGATCTCACTGTATCCATTCTTTACCTCCAAAGGATCTAGATGAGAATGCTAAACATTATGATTTTATAACAGTCTTACTATGCTAATTATATTTCTCTTAGATTAATGTTAAAATTCCCATCTTTTCAAGGCATTTACAAACTACCCACAGTGAAGAAAAGTCTGGAGCCACAAAGCATGTGATGTAATAATGTTTGCACAATGACTTTCTTATAATAAAAGCTGCAGTCCAATTTCTCACTTAGTTTTTCTCAGTGTTAATGTCTGAAGTCGCATTTGTTAAAATGTGGAAATTATTATTGATACAATTCTCTTTATTAATCTGTAGATTTATTTGGATTTCATCTGCATTTCTACTCATGTCCTTTTTCTGTTCTGAGAGCTAATCCTACATACTAGATCAAGGAATTTTTGCCACAGTCTAAAAGTTGTGCCCACTGTTAATCTTTCAACTTTTATTGTTGAATAATATATACTACCAAACCTCCAACCATCCTTGAATGATATCATAATTCAGGAAAAGAGTGAAGGCCAGGAAAAAAGTTATAAATGTCAATTCTATGCATTGTACCTCAGCAATTTTAAAATTTCATACAACTGCTTTAAAAATCAGGGAAGTTAAATAATACAAAGAGTCCATCACACCACATTTTTATCAGTGACCATGTGTCAATTTTTTTCAAGACCACTTTACTGAGGTGTGATTGGCACAGAAATAGTGGTGGATATTTACAACATTCAACCTGATGAGTTCCAATGTTGACTCGTTTCAGATAATCCATGAAGTGGTAGGTACTGTGTGGGTTACTGGGAGCTGAAGCAACAGTGACTTAATGACATAGTGCTTTCATCATAAGGTGCCACTGGCATGGACAATGTCATCCTTGTTCACCATTTCATCACCTGGCCACCTAGTACATGAGGTCCTAAAAACATGCTTGCAGCTGAACGAGGAATTTTCCCAGGCCATTTCAAAAGATGTATAGTAAAGCATAATCTTTAAAGTTTTTTTCAGAAGGAATTTTTAAATAAAAATAAATGGGTAGATTATTTAATATGAAATGTATTAATTTTACTAGTAATACTAGCATTCACAGTTGATAACATTATAAGGCATTATGTAATAATAGTAATAATGCTAATAGTAAATTTAACAATTGATGCAATCTACTTACCACCTGGCTAATATTTCATTTTGGTTGCTGTGGTTACTTTCTCTTACTGATGAGGAATATGACGTTTCATCAGGGCAAGTCTTACTATCCTAACTTTGGGTAGAAACAGCCCTCTAAATCTGCCTGTCT